TTATGATTGGTTAGTTGCACAAACAACAAAGTTGATTGGTGCATTCAAACTATTCAACAGGAAGTTTACAATTATACTAGGAAGTGTATGAATATCTCAAGGAACTTGATCAAATGAATTGGTCAGCCCGAGGTAATGTATTGAATCAATATTTGAGCAACACTTCAATTGGAACGACAGTAAAAACGCGCAAGTTATTACAGATCTGAAAACAAGTTGTAACAAGGTTGTTGTCAAGCCGATGTCAGGATGTGTTCTCACTGCTTGTTCCCAGTTGTTGTGACAAGTCTGGAACAAGTTGTTATCATCTTGTTACAAGGTTGATGACGTTAATACAGACTGTTCGTAACAAGCTGCCACGAGCTTGTTGCTAACAAATTGTTACGTGCAGACGATATCAGACTTGTTGGAACAACGTTGCGAGTCTGTTGGCCTCCTCAACCTTGTTACAACCTTGCAACAAGTCTGATAATATCAGCAAGGTTGTTACAAGTTGTTAACAGCTTGTTCCAAACTTGTTGACAACTTGGGACAAGCAGTGCGAGAACACGACTTGTTGGCAGAATTGCTACAAGATGTGAGATTTTTGCATGTGTACACACGTAGAAACGCACAAGTTGTAACAAACCTGCAGCAGACCTGTAGCAATGCTGTTCCAACAACTTGTCAACAGGATGTGTTCGCACTGCTCTTGCTCCCAACTTGTTGACAAGTTGCTACAAGCTTGTTGAGCTCAATAGACTTGTTACAAGTTGTTCCAACAATTTGTTGTCATCCTGCAATTCAACAATTTGTCAACAAGTTGTGAGTGACAACCTTGTACAACTTGATAAAATAACAGCATTGTTACAACTTAAGTTCTTTGTATGTTTGCATGGCGATAAAATATAATGGTTTTGTTTGTGGAAACACCACGTAAATTTATTACTGCAAAGCTTTCGATCCGTAAGCCCGGATCTTCATCAGTGCTAATAATATGAAGATCCGGGCTTACGGATCGAAAGCTTTGCAGTAATAAATTTATGTGGTGTTTCCACAAACAAAACCATTATTGTTACAACTTGTTGACAAACTTGCTACAAGACTGTTGCGAACACATCTTGTCGACAAGTTATGAGATTTTTGCGTGTGTCGAGGATACTTCGACTGATAATTCACTGTGTACACACGTGAAACGCACAACTTGTAACAAACCTGCAGCATACTTGTACCAATGCTGTTTCCACAATTTGTTATGAGGATGTGTTCGCACTGCTTGTTCCCAGCTCGTTGACAAATTGTGAACGGCTTGTCGAGTGACAATTTGCTACAAGGTTGTTGACTCGACAATGGTAGTCAAGTTGTTATCATCTTGTACCAACAAGTCTGCTACAGTCTTGATATAACAATATTGTTACAACCTTGTGTCGTCAACCTTGTAACATTCTTGTTATATCATGACTGTGTCAGACTTGTTAGAACAACCTTGTAACAAGTTGGATAATGCCATCAAGCTTGTTACAACTTGTTAACAGCTTGTTCCAAACTTGTTGCAACAACTGGGAACAAGCAGTGCGAACACAACTTGTCGACAGCTTGTGAACATATTTGTAACTTGTTTGCAGACTTGTAACAACTTGTGCGTTTTTACGTGTGTAGATCTTTGCCTACAGAGCATCTTAATGTTCCACATTGCAAAAATACATTTCTTTTTTTACAGCACGACTCGTGTCCAATTTGTCGGCTAGGTTTAAATGGTAGGAGTAACATTGAAAACGAGTCAAACGAGCTTTAAATTTGCACGAGACTATAACCACGAAGCTCCATCACGCGCGAGACAAAAGACTGCAATTATTCAGAGCTCTGAGCCATATAATAAGACGCTGTAAATAGTGTGGAAAATACGTGTAATTTTGTGTGTAGAAAATGTTTTAATATTTTTTTTGTTAAGTGTAATTATAAACTATGGTAAGAATTGATAAATATACCTGGTTAAGATATACTCGTGTAAAAACTCGACGTTGTTCAAGAGGTATGGCAATAAAAATTTGGTAAGGCAATAGAAATTTTGAAAGAACTTTTAAAACTTTTACAGCTTCTTCAAATGTTGTTTAGTTCTCGAAATATTTTGACAAAAATCACCATGAATCAGTGAGCTGTTCGCCATCTTGGATTATTGAGGATATGTATGTTACCGGATATACACAATAATGATTAGCCCAAAATTATATTTCGGTCACTATTTCAAATTAGAAATTGACTGACAACATTTTAAACATATACTATATATAGCCAAACCCTGCTTTTGACGTCACCAAAACCACCGTCAATGAGATCAAAACTAATCCAAGATGGCGGACAGCCAATATTTGTTCAGTCAAAATATTTCAAAAACTAAGATAC